TCCTGCTTTAATTTAAAGCGCGTACTTCTGCTTTCTTTCCCTCGCTCTTCATATTTCACCTTTCTAACTGTCTGATCCGTACATTTCATCCATCACTCAGTTGAGTTCGTTCAGATTTTTTGAATGGTGAAAAAAATTAGTAGGTGTATTTAGGTTCAACAGAAAGCTTCATTTGTTAACACGTACCAGAAAATATGTAGTGAGCAACGCTGTTATTAATATTGCCGGTATTTTTAAAAAAAATGAAGAATGTTATTTATTTTAAAAAGTAAGCTATATAAATTAATACGCATCTGTTTGGTATTATATCATGGGTGATGACGACTTTATGATAATACTAGTGTGATAGTACAAATAATGATACTATAACCGCACAGCTTTTCGGATTTTGTGTCTGTTTTTTCGTCTTCCCGCCTTATTTCCCCCCTACTCACCATTGCACATCATGCACTAAGTGAGCGCATGTTTTGTTTGTAAAGTGTTGTTATTTTTTTCAAAGAGTCTACACAACAAGAGGGTTCGGTGGCACCCTCTTCGCAAATGCGCACCGTTTGCGAACAGAGTTACCCTACTTGTGCTAAAAAAATCAAAGTGAAACTAATAAGTTTTTGAATAAATAAGAGTTCAAATTTCGGAAGAACTCTTATTTAAAAAGGTTACGCTGACAAAAAACCTTTTCCGGAAGAAAGGGTGACTGTTTTCTTCTTTTAATTTGACTTTAGAATGAAAGACGACAGGTCATTACAATTTTTAAAAACCTAAAACTCCTCACTGAACGAACCCGAACAGCTAATGAACAGCAGTCGATCTGCGCACGCAAGGAGGTGCTATTCCTATTCTTCTTCTGGAGAAACGAAAGAGAGCTTCAAAGCAGACTTCAGCGCCATCTGAAGCAAAGAGCGGACTTCCGGCGGACTCTTTTTTGGCTGAGTGGACCATCTTGTTATGTAGGCCTACTATCTTTGTTTTTATCAAGTTCCTGTTGAAACCCGGCAGGGCGATACGTCGAAATAAAAAATATAAAAAATACAATGTCATATCATTTCAGGCAGAAATACGGAAGTGTTCATCTACTTTTTGTTTTTCTTTTCGTACTCACAAAAACGATGATGATGGTGATGATGTTGTAACAATGTTTACCATCTACAAAACTAAACTTATCATAACCTGTGTTGATTAAAGCTAATGAATCAAGTTCTCAATGTTAAACTAATCAGATGGCTTCCTTTTTGAAAGGATCTGACCATCATCTGGCAAAGAAAAAACAGCAACCAACCAAACAAAGAACTGATCATGTTTTGCTAACAGACTGAATTTGGGTGGTTTGCGGGTGTTCTGGTGTGGTTTGCTCCTTCTTTTCTATCAATCACCTATCGTCCTTTTCTCCCCTTCTTCTTTTTTATGTTTGTTACTCTCTTGTAACACCTCTAATCTTCTGGCGCTCATATGACCTCATTGTGTTGCGAGCGCCGTAAAACCTCTACTAAAACTAAACAGACTGAATGTATAGTTTCCACTCTAGCTCCCCCTTAAATAACCTGACAATATTGTTGTCAGGGGCGTTAATTAAACTCATACACTCACTCTTATCATGAAAATTATTATCAACATCTGATACCTCAACAGAAATGACATCCATCTGATTTTGTTTTGCTTACAAACTTACAGGTGAAATGTGCAGTTACAACCCCAGCTGATAAGTGTTGATAGGAGCATTAAACTCACACATTTACAATTTTGCCCCACCATCCCAGCTGTATGTGTGTATTTGCTCGAGGTGTAGGCCTGTGTGTGTAGGCAGTGTGTAGTGTGTGTTTTAGATCTTAATATGAGCACGCCAGTGGACGTGGGTCGCATATAATTATATGCAATCGAACTGTGCGGTGTCTGTGTGGTGTATGGTTAGGCTTTTTGCCGTAGCACACGAAAGATTATGTTCGGTTTCCGCATGGGGAAGCCTTTTTTATTTTTATCGAGTATCTCCGTCTGTCTGTGGGTGGTTGGCGGATGATCTAAGGTGGTTTACTCAGATTCTCTCTTATGAAACATCTGTCGTCCTTATCTCCCCTCCTTTTTGTGTGTTGTTACTTCTCTTATTACACATCCAATTCTCGCATCAATAATATGAACTAATTGCGTCGCACGTGCTGTAAATCTCTTACTAAAACCAAAAAGACATGCCCGCTAGCTAGGATACTGTTCATGAGTATGTCCCTCCTTTTGCTAAGACAATGATCGGAATAGCCTGCCATCTAAATGATCTAAATCGTGTCGATTTT